ATGAGAACGATTTCATGAATATGGGCCCGGGACTACATTTGGGGGTTTCAAAATAGTCTTTATGCTGCACTTGTTTTGAAATTACATTGATTGAGTACCACATTTCTGTTGTATTGTATGAACACATTATCTCTTTTCACATGGCACGAATACGGAAGAAAATTCAACTTCAAGACTTAAATATTTAACTTAAAATCTGTTTTAAACGTAGAAATAGCATGTGTTTTACTAGTAAAACCGGTTATTTGATGGCCCAGGTCATTCCCTCTTTATACTTAGACCCTAACTATAAAAACAATCTGTATACTATTTCTTTCTTGTTTTGCTTTCGTCCTTTACGGTCTTTAAGGACAGGGCTTACTTCATGAAAAGAACACATAGCATATCGCCATATATATCAGTATTAAATATGACCTAAACAGTGTAAATATTCCACTTCACTCGGGAATGTGACGGTACGTAAATCTGGCACTTTATGACACTTCAGATACCAAAAAGAGATCACCAGTTGATGGTCCAACGCATCTTCCCGTCCGACCCAAATCCCCAGATTATGTGTTGCCAAGCGTTGCTAGAGCTGCGTCACCAACGGAAGTCTTTAAGCCCATGGATACCATCGACTCACTGTACTCGGCGCCTTGGGGATCCACCTATGACCAGGACACCTCGTTATGGCTACCTGACGTCAGCATCACGCCATTGGATAGAATCTGTTCTTTTGAGTACCTACACACAACAAAACCTAAACCGTTATGTGTGTCGTCCCTGGGGAATGTGGATCACACGTGTTCAGCCGTGTGTGAAGACGATCCCACGTGTGTTACCTACCATACCATGGCGGACACCATAGCTTCAGAGATGCCAGTTAATACCGATAAAGGACGTCTCTCGTCAGCAATCAAGCCGGTTAATCAAGAACGCCCTATTTTACCTTCAGTCAACCGAGTATCGCCACCAAAAGTTCCCTCAGTTGCTGTTAACGTAAAATCTCCACAGAACAAGAAACGACCACCCTATTCAGTAAACTTGGCATTGTTCACGGCCTTCAAAATGGGCGTGTCTCCAGTTATATTTCACAGGGCAGGCATCAAAGCTATAATCAAACACAACTCAAGGAAGGTTAAGGAAAGCACCGACCATGATACTAATAGACATGATAGGGACGGATATTTTATCCCCATTTATGTCCCAAAACGCTGCACCACTGTCTCCGCCTTGTCAACTGTCCTACAAACAAGTACTGCAGTTATTTTTGGCAAAACTGCATTTAAATATGTAAAAAATGGCGAGAAGGGGTCTGACAAAAGTCAAACAACAACAAACCGAGACCTAAAGGTAAACATGAACGATACAGTGAAACCCAGGAATCAGTCCACATGTTCACTTGGTACTCCCCAAAGAAATCTGAACAATGACACACAAAAACACTGCAGTTCATTGGCTGTTACGCAACAGCCTGACATACCACTATCGGCCTTAACTCATATTCCAGTAACCACAAATGTACCGAATCATGGAGAAAATCCTGAAACCAAAGAAATTGCGATTAGCGTAGCTGTGAAGCCAGTTGTTGGTTCAATGATGTCACTTGCGGCCAGACGACATGACAACAGCACGTACATGGCGCTGTCTTCGTTGCTAGTGACGACAACAACCGTAGTCCTTGGAGATGCAATGGAAAACAGTTGTGTAGAGCTGACAGAAATAGGTGGGTACTCCTCTCATTTGCCAATGCGATCTCCAGTCTTTGAAAAAACACTCGGCTTTTGATGGGAAACGAAAGTATTGTATAGAGGTAGTAACTGTTAATAAAAAGCGGTATGGGCAACTTCTGATACCAAAGTTCAAAGATAAAAAGTATGTTCATGTTTTGACAGAAAGAAGAATATTGTAGATATACAAACCCGATTTTTGTCTTCATTTTAAAGGGATTTTAACAGAATTTGATAGGATATTCGTGGATGCAGGCATTGCTGCCTCTACATTGTGGTAAACAATGATCTAGTCTATTTATCAGAAGCAGCATCTCAAAATCAAATACAGTACGAGGTGAAATTTCAGTCTGAGGGAGACTGTCCCACAGGTCTTTATAAGATTTGAATGGCAACATTGATTGAGGTATTTTTGACTGTGTCCATGAGTTTTTCCGAATGCAGCGAAATCAAATAGACCTTCCATCAAATTGGGATCGTACAGCACATTCACAAACTTGAATACGGTTATCATGTATCCGCGCAAGCCTCTGTAAACTAGAGTTGGAAGCCCCAATCGGTGTAGTCTCTAACTGTAGCTAATATTGTTAAATCAAGGGAACAGCTTCGTGTATTAACATCACTTAAAACAGAAGTTCATTTATTATATTTAAGTACAAGCATCCTTAATAAATGAATTATTCACAATATGGTTCTGATTTGTCATCCAGAACTGTCCGAAAAGGTGCCAGAGGTTGAGACCAAAGTCAACAACCGTAGGTCTGTACTGGACATCTTATTTTGTGTAAGTATGTATACAGAGTATAGAGAGTGAATCATCACTGCCGCAACAATAAATTACAAAATAACGAAATCAAGGTATTCAAAACTGGTCATGTAAGTTAAATATATGACAAAGTGCTTTTCTTTTACCGCCGTGCAGGGGACAATTGAAAAGACAGAGAATGTTGGCAAAACTTGTATAGTTAGTAGGAGAGGAGGAAGTTGAGGAAGGAGGGGGACGTGTTTGGCATTAAAACTACTTCGCTTAACGTTTAAATCTATTATTATTTGATATATGATATTGAAACAATATATGCCCCATCATTTATTCCTATACATTTGGTATATTTCTGTTCCTTCCACAGAGGCAGAGGAAATAACTCTATGACGCCCAGCAAACTGTAAACAGCAATAACGAGTCAGAAAATACGAAGAAAAGGATTTCATTTCACAAGAATGTGATCATGAACATTTTGTGAATGTGATCATTAAAATCATGTGTACTGTTGGTCCTTTCTTGTATTCCGAATGTCGTTAATTCTTGTGGATGGTTTACGTTTGGGGTTTCATCTGCAGCAAAGGGGATTTAATGGACATATACATCATATACATCAACAATAGAGACTGATCTATCGGTTGCAAGAGTGGTAGAAAGATCAAATAAAACTTTGAGAAAATGGGCAACGAGCATTTTTAAACAAGCGAATACTATTTGTCAAATAATCTTATCACATGGGGTGTCAGGGGCAAAGATAAAGGTCACCGAGAGAGTCCAAGGTCAACCAAGGTAGATCTAGACGTTTGTTTATCGACAGCAATTGACTAATTGACTTTATGGTAATATCTATCGAAGATTAAAACGATTAAAAGAAAACATGTTGTACGCTTCATAGAATTAAATAGCATGAGAAAAATATTAAAACGTTTAATACTTTGCAGAGGTCGGACAATAAATATCGCGATACAAACACGGAATGCTTCGCAGAGGTCCTTTTAAATACTTTGACATTTATGAAGGTATTTTGTTTTTGTTATTTTTAACGTGCGTGTGATCCTGTGTAAGGACTTGATCAGCAAAATCAAAGTATTTACAAACAAAGGTATCCTTTTCCACAGTCTTTCGCAAGGACAGACAGCATAGACGAGGTGGTGGTTTTCTTATTTATACTAAGAATAACATACTTGCTAAACGTAGATTAGACCTGGAATCGGATGATGTTGAAGTTGTCTGGACAGAAATTAAGTAGCAAAATAAACAATTGCTTGTAGGATGCTTATATAGGGCTCCAAATTCCGTAGTTAACTACTGGGATAAGTTGGATGAAATTCTTGGAAAAAATCTCTGATCTGAATATGAGTGTCTTACTACTTGTTGATATTAACCAGAATATGCTGAATTTGACCCCAAACTCTCACATGAAAAGATTGATGATAAAGTATGGATTGAATAATATTGTAATTGAACCTACAAGAATAACCTCAACATCATCAACTTCCCTTGATGATATATTGACCAATGACAGTAATAATGTATGTAATGTAACTGTGGA